AGGAAATGATTTCTTTGCTTCTTGCAGGGCACAATTAAGGGTGGGTAAAATAGGTATCACCCTTATTGAGATGTCATCTTCAACTTTCAAATCTTTCACTCCTAAAATACATATACACATATAATAAACACCTAAGTTTTGTTTTTTTAACAAAACGTACAGAAAAAAATGCTTCAGATTTCAAAATTACGTGATGGTTAAATATGCTATAGTGTTTCAAATGATAACCTAAATGGCAATTAACAGGAGACTTACGAGTGCATGTAATGAATGTATCTCCATATGTGAAGTTACACACGTAACCTGACGTGAAAAAGAACATCTGACATGCAATGGCTAGGTCAGGGCGAGTAGCTAAACCATCTCGCTGGCGAGGAGGCTCAGTGTCCATCGGGCAGTAGCGCTGGTCTTTAGAGCTGGCAGACTTGCTTTCCTACTGTTTAATTCTTATTTATTGCTTTTAAAATGTACTCTTATTTTATCTGTACCTTATATAACTCCAAATTCTTTTTAGACATACAATGCAAATCAACCAAACTAAAAAAACAGAAGCCCTAAATAATGCCCAAATCTTATTGGAATGATTATTGCTAATTTTATTGCCTTTTCTATCAAATGAAATAAAAATTGTAAAAACTTAAGTAACTTTACTGAAGACTTTGGGTTTCCTCTCCTCTCTTTGGCTCAATCTTTCACTAAAGTGCTAATTTTTTAGCAGCTCAATAACCTAAAGGAAACCACTAAAGGGAATTAAAAAAAAGTCAGGTCCCTGTGAACTGGGTAATAAAATCTTAGAAAATTTCAGAGTTCTCAGCAACATAAACCCACAAATAACAAAGGCTTCTAGTGCCTCGTAAATGGAAATAGAAACCGCATCCTTCTTGTTAAGGAAAAGTAACTACAGAATTAAGAAACACCAAGTGAGTCCCAAGTAAACACATTAGCACGACAGCGGGGATCAGGAAAAGAAGGACAAAGAATAAATAAAAAGGAAAATGGCTGGATAGTAAGATAAAAATTCTTTTCTTTGCAGTACATCATTTATAGTAACAAGTGAAGGAAAAATAAAATATGAAAAGTCCTTGAGTACTAAGTTCACAAAAAAGCAGTTTTTTTCTAGGCAAAGTCATTATTTCAAGAAGGAACCTGGCAAGGCAGAACCCAGTATGATTTGTGTTAAACTATAATAAAATCTACAAAAAAGCCCTTTTGAGTTGGCTAAGCAGTTTCTTCATCTTTGAAAAGGTTATAATAAGAGTACTTATTTGAAGGATTGCTAAATCAGATATACCGACCACAATACCTGACATAATGAATGCTTAAAAATGTAAACAGCCATTGCCATTATGTTATATAATTGGTAATGTTTTACCTGTTCCAAAGAAGTGATGCCTAAGAAAGCACAGTTCTCTGCTTTTAAGTAATAGAATTTTTTTTTTTGAGACACAGTCTCACTCTGTTGCCCGGGCTGGAGTGCCGTGGTGTCAGCCTAGCTCACAGCAACCTCAAACTCCTGGGCTCAAGCGATCCTCCTGCCTCAGCCTCCCGAGTAGCTGGGACTACAGGCATGCGCCACCATGCCCGGCTAATTTTTTCTCTATATATTTTTAGCTGTCCAATTAATTTTTTTCTATTTTTTGGTAGAGACGGGGTCTCGCTCTTGCTCAGGCTGGTCTCGAACTCCTGAGCTCAAAACGATCCACCCACCTCGGCCTCCCAGAGTGCTAGGATTACAGGTGTGAGCCACAGTGCCCGGCTGAGTAATACAATTTTTAAAAATAAACTTTGAAAACATTTTTGTACTGGTTATAGCCTTATACATACTGTATACAGTTTTATGTTTAAACACACAGTCTGACTATAAAACAATGAGAATTTCCTCATGTGGCAACAAAGAAATGACTCACTTTCATTTATTTATACAGTAAACATTGTTTTTTAAGTACCTGGCATTGCTAGGCATTAGGGATACAGTAGAATACTGGGGTAGGCAGCAAATAATCACAAATAAGTACTTAAGTTATACTGATAAGCCCAGGGGGAAGAGTGGTGACAGAATCAGGGAAGTGATACTGAAACTGAAGGTAGACAGATGGGAACAGGAATAAGCTAGATCAGTGTCCCTCAACAACCTTCTTAATCATTACCTGCCCCCAGCCCTTTTAGACTCTTTTTTCCCCACCTGCCCTCTGAAATTTTAATACTACGCATATACTACTGTGTAACTGTTTATGTACTATACAGGTGATTTTTTTTTGCCCCCAAGAGCCAAGTTTTGGTCCTTTGGGGAGCGGTGGGGGCGGGGGGGAGGACAACATCACCCTGAGAATGTGTGGGCTGGATAAGAAAAAGATCAACAGTCCAGGTAAGGGGACAGCATCTTTGAAGGTTCTGACCCACATCACAGCGTCTCCCAGCTATTGCTGCTTGGTAACAAGTGAATTCAGTTTTAGACACACTGAATCTGAGGCACCTTTGAGCTATGTCGGTGGAAATGTCAGCAGACAGCTGGAGATGAGGATAAACCTGCAGAGGAGGTTAAGAGGTCAGCCAGAGAGGTCAAGAGAAGAGAGATATTTAAGAGGAAAGAACAGTTCACAGTGCCATGTGCTACTGAGAGGCCAAGTCAGACGAGGACTGAAATACATCTGCCAGACAGAGTGAACTGGGTCACTGTGTCCTCACCTGCTGACGGGGGTGAATGGAACAAATGCAACCCGTGCAGACCCATCTGCTCAGCTCCAAAATCTACACAGAATGAGAATCAAAAGAAAAGTTAGGTTGCTGATCTTATAAAACAAAAGTAAACGTACTGAAAAACATTTAAAAGTTATCCATACCTGATTCTGATATTAAGGCTGATGACGTAAGTAAAATGAAAACCCCCCGATCTTCTAAGCATTTGATGACTGCCTGGAATATAAAAGAAAAATACATATGAAAGAAGATTCTTCAATCCCTCTCTCCTTCTCCCTCTACCATACTCATTAGTGAAGTGTGACCTCAATGAAAGAAAAGATTCTGGAAATGTTAATGTTTATAACAATCAGGGTAATTCTGTCTTTAGATTCAGAAACTAAGCTCCTTAGCTCAAATAATCTTGGCTCTGTTCGAGCTACATATAATAACCAGAACTTCCAGGGTTAATTTTAGAGTAGTGTTCAACTACATAACAAATCAATCAAAAAGTCTTATTTCATTTTTTCACTGAGACAGCTGATATTTTATACCACTGCCTAAATTGTCACGTGTTACTACGTAGCCACTTCAAATTCGAGATTAATCTTAAGCTCATGTTTATGTGAAAATTATCAGAATATTGTGGAACTACAAAAACTGAAGATACCATCCAATAAAACAATCCTTTCTACAGCATCCCAAGAAATGGAAAATAAAAAATAATCAGGTCCTATGGCAACAAGAAATGTAGATGAAAGTAAATTCTTCCTTTTTTCCCCCTCCACCAGAGTCTTCAGTGAAATCTTGAGCTCGATAAAAAAAGAAGTCTTGAAATTTTGTGTTTTCAGTAACTTGGGCAATTTTGTCCCCAGGTAAATAGGGGAAGTCATCTAAAAGCTATCATTCTAAATCATAAAGTTAATAGTTCTTCTTTTCCATTGTTCACCATTTCAAAAACCTATATACCCATAAAAGATAAAATCCAAAGTTCATACAATAATTTTTCAGTTCAAAACATTTTATTTCAAAACCGGTAGGACGTAAGCCTACAAATAGGGTAAATCAAAAAATTATTTAATCACAATGAAAATATGAAACAAAAGACTTTTCAAATTATTACATTACAACTAAGGTACTGATCTCTCACTCACAGAATTACTCTCTCGAGTCTCCATACGTTTCTATTACGGCCCCTATGTGCTTCATGGCATGTGATTATCTATTTGTCCCCTCCATAGTCTTATAAGCTCCGTGACTTATGGAAGCTATGAGTTAGGGACTGTTTTGTATCCTTGCTTCTACCACACAGTAGGCCCCCAGAATTACTGAATAAACATACAAAGGATTGTATATAACCATAGCTTTGGTGTCTATTAAACTGCAAATAGCTATGATTCTCGTTTCGTTTTCTATTGATGTAAAAAGTGAAAGTAACAATAATTAGCCTCTACACTGTTCTGCATCTTAGTTTTGTAATAAAAATGTAAAGTAACATCCTTCTATTAAAATCACGTACCCCTATCTTCAAAAATACGTGCAAATAAAAAATAAGTAGTATATCTTATTAGTGTCTCAAATTATATATTATAAAGGGCTGTATAAAGTTCCTATTTTAACCTTTGTGGGGAGAAATCATAGAATCTTTTAAATACAGTATCTGCTTCTAGCCTCTTCCCTATGTACCCAGAATAATACAGCCACCTGTGTTTTTAACACCCTTTAAAGAGACCTTGCTCTTTCCTGTTCCTAAGTTCAGTGTTCCAGGCACAATCCCACATACACTTTCTCTAAGGGACATTTATTACTTGTCCACTCTATACCAGACACTAAGGTATCAAAGACACTGAATGCATACTGGCCCTCAAGGAACTCAATGTTTAGCTGGGGAGACAGATGTGTAAAAAAAAAAATTCCTAAAACGAGAAGAAAAAAAGCATGGAGCACCGAGGAGGAAGGGCCACATGCAATATATAATTTCTATTAATAATTGTTCTTAATCGGTTTCAATGCAAAGCCAGCACTAAGTCTCTACTACTCCTAACACCATAAGCACTCAGGAGAAGTGCCTTTACCAATGCATTTTCTGAAAATAGCTTCCGACTTTCTTCCCTTTAATTTCCAAATAGAAAATGGACTATGCTACTTCAAAAGAAAAAGAAAGGACTATCATCCTACAGCAGACATTCTATGGTTATCACCTCAGCACCCACTCCCCCAGCCGCCTGGGAACTGCAGAGGCAGCTCTCATCTACCGGGAGGGCTCCTTCAGACTGGGCAGGCCTGGCCTCACCCCCGCTGCTGGCAGTGGGCTCGACATGGGCTCAGCCACCCAGTGTCATCCATGTCTTTTTCAGTACTGGCCGATGGACGTCCAGATGACACAGGCCAGTTCGAGACTGAAGTGATGGTTTGGATGAAGGGTTCTCCCCCTGTACCAGATGACAAAACTGAAGTCCAAAAATACTAAATGGAAAATTTCAGAAATAAACAATTCCTAAGTTTTAAAATGAACACTGCTCTGAGCAGTGTGATGAAACCTCGTGCTGGTCCGCACCACCCCATCCTGTCCAGGACTTGAATCATGCCTTTGTCCAGCACATCCACACCGCCCACACCACCTGCCCATGTCGTCAACAGCGGTGGTGCCTCACAACACTGCGTCACCCATCTCACTTCATCTCACCATGGAGGTAATTTTATTATCTCACATCATCACGAGAAGAAGAGTAAGTACAGTACAATACAGTATTTTGAGAGACAGACTACATTGACACTTCTACAATATATTGTTGTAACTACTGTATTTTATTATTAGTTATTGTTGTTAATCTCTTACTGTGCCTAATTTGTAAATCACACTTTATCATAGGTATGTATGTATACATGGGGTTTGGTACTATCCAGTTTCAGGCATCCACTGGGGGTCTTGGAATATCCCCCAGGAATAAAGGGGGGGACTACTATATTATCTTACTAATATGTAAATAAATATTAAACAATGAAAATGCTTTTAGTAAACTAAAATAATTCAATCCAGGCACAGCCAACTAATACTCAGATATCAATTTCTCAATTTAGGAAAAAATAACTATATTTTAAAATAACGATTCTTACCAATTGGTTCTTTTTAATGTATTCTGTTAGTTTATCTATTTTTTCCCCTTGTCTGTTTGACAGTTCCACCTCATACAGATTGAAGCACAAACTTTGGCAACAGACTGTAGAGAAAAATCACAAAAAACATTTCTTATTTTTAAAATCAACTTACTCATTTTCTATATTACTAAAATGAAAGAACAGGAATTCTACCCAAAAAACCTTTATTAATGTTCTTGGTTATAAAACTCCTTAATAAAAAGTTACTGAAATAATTACTTTAAAACAATGCTCTTATACTGACACTACTATAGGACCAACAAGACAAATAAACACTGCAAAATAACATTCTTAGAACTAACCTAAGCACCAAGAAATTTCCTTCTCATATTTTTTCTTTCATTTGAGATTTAAAAAACATAAATAAAAACAAAAATTCTGTTCTCCTTGAGAGGAATGGTTATGAGTTTCCAACTATTTTTAATATCTGTTTGCTTAATTCCATTAGCATTCTGTATCAAAGCTACTCTTTGTCATCTTGGATGAAACTGCCTTTCACAGTTTCTAGTTGGCCTCTAAGGAACTGAAAAACATAGTAACTTTAGAACTTTCTCACAAAACACCCTTTTAAGAATCACTTAATATGAGACAGGAGAGTATGTGTGCACGTTTGAAAGACAGAGTAGAAAATAACTCAAACAAAGCCCAAGACATGCAAGTATGTCATTACATTTCAACAGACCTTTTTGCTCCAAGTAATTCTGTTTTCTAAAGGCAGCTTCTGGTAGTCGTTTTTTCAAGGAAGACACTTTTATTGCATACTTAAAATCTAGTTCCTGTGGTCTAAAAAACAACAATATCGAGCAGTGTAATAAATACTGGAACTACGTATAGTTCCATAATTTTTGGTTTTCTAATATATATGCAAACAAAAATATCACAACCACAAAAAAGCCCTTAAATTGATATACTCCAGGTTAAATAATAGGCATACTTACAGATACAACCCACAGACCATGGTCTGCAAATACGTTCATTTTCTAAACGTGTATTTTTGGTATAAACAAAATATCCAGATGTGCCAAAAAATTATGTATACAGGAACTGAGAATTTTAAAAAGTTAAGCTGTGTGAGAGTTGAAAACCCTTGGTAATGTTGGATTGCCTACCATGCAGTTCCACAGAATGAACCACATACGGATCTTTGTATCATTTCCCAACTACTTCTTCCTTTTTAAAAACTTATTCTGAAATACTTTTAGACTTATAGAAAAGTTGCAAAAATAGTACAAAATGTTTTTAGACTCTTTATCCAGAATCTGCAAATGTTAAGAGTATAGCATGTTTACTTTGTCATTCTTTCTTTCTTTCTTTCTTTTTTTTTTTTGAGACAGAGTCTCACTCACTCTGTTGCCCGGGCAAGAGTGTCGTGGCTTCAGCCTAGCCCACAGCAACCTCCAACTCCTGGGCTGAAGCGATCCTACTGCCTCAGCCTCCCGAGTAGCTGGGACTACAGGCATGCGCCACCATGCCCGGCTAATTTTCTAAATATATATTTTTAGTTGTCCAGATAATTTCTTTCTATTTTTAGTAGAGACGGGGGTCTCGCTCTTGCTCAGGTTGGTCTTGAACTCCTGACCTTGAGCGATCCACCGGCCTCGGCCTCCCAGAGTGCTAGGATTACAGGCGTGAGCCACCGCGCCCGGCCCTTTGTCATTCTTTCTACACACACACACACACACACACACACACACACACACACGTAATTTCTTTAACCTTCTTTTTGTTGTTTTTTTGAGATGGTCTCGCTCTGTCACCCAGGCTAGAGTGCAGTGGCATCGTCATAACTCACAGCAACCTCAAACTCCTGGGCTCAAGAGATCCTCCTGCCTCAGACTCCCAAGTAGCTGGGACTATAGGCACGCACCACCACACCCAGCTAATTTTTCTATTTTTTGTAGAGACAGGGTCTCGCAACTATGCTGCTCAGGCTGTGAACCTTCTGAGAGTAAAATGTAAACCTGATTCCCTTTTACCCCCAACTACTTCTCTGGGTGCTTCTTTAAAAAGGAAATATTCTCATACAACCACAGAGCAATTAGCAAAATTAACAAATTCACCATGACTTAACCCACATCTTATTCAAATTTTTCCGACTGCCTCATTAAGGTCCTTCACGGCAAAAGAAAATTTCCAATGCAAGATGCCATACTGCACTTAGTTATCATGCCTTTTGAGTCTTCTTTAATTTAGAAGGGGTTTTCAGTCTTTCTTTACTTTCAGTGACCTTGATATTTCAAAGAATATAGACCATTCTGCAGAATGCTCCTTAATCTGGGTAGGTCTAATGTTTCCTCCTGATTAGACAGAAACACCACAGAAGTGATATGATGTCATTTCCTGTGCATCATATCAGGAAGCACATGACACCTATTTCATTAATGGTGACATTAATTTAACCACTTAGTTTTCTCTACTGGAAAGTCTCTCTCTCTCTCTCTATCTATATATATGTATATACTTTTTTTTTTTTTTTTTGAGACAGAGTCTCACTCTGTTGTCTGGGCTAGATTGCAATGGCATCATCATAGCTCACTAAAACCTCAAATTACTGGGCTAGGCTCAAGGGATCCTCCTGCCTCAGCCTCCCCAAGTAGCTGGGAGACTACAGGCATGTGCCACTATGCCTGGCTAATTTTTCAGTTGTCTGGCTAATTTTTTTATTTTCTATTTTTAGTAGAGATGGGGTCTCACTCTGCTCAGACTGGTCTTAAACTCCCAAGCTCAAGCGATCCTCCCAACTTGGCCTCCCAGAGTGTTAGGATTACAGGTGTGAGCCACTGCACCCAGCTCTATATTTTCTTCCTTTGTGATTAATGAGCAAGTTGTGGGAAAATGTCGTGAGATACGTAAATATTACCAAACTTTCGCCTGCTACTTTTAGCATCCATTGGTTGGTATTATTGTATTGCAACACAGTGGTTTTCTAATTCGTCACTCTTTCCACATTTATTCGCTGCACTCTACAGTAGGAAGAACTTTCCCTTCTCTCCCACTTATTTATTCACAGAATTCTTACTTTATTCTACAGGTTATAATACCCTGCCTCTTTTTTAGAAAGGCCAACAAAATGAATTCTGACAGCGCATCAGTTTTCACCTTATATTTCAATTAAACTATGACTATCTTGCAATAGTTTTGGGTACAAACTAAGAATAGGCCAAACAAAAAGATTTCATAAGCTGCCTTCACAGTTCCCCTGGAGAAAACACTCATCATGGTCATTCATTTTAATGTAAATACACGTAACAGCTTCTCTAGTCAATATTTTTCTAAAAGAATCATGTGAAATTAGAAAACCAGATACTGCAAATCTTAATAAAAACTCAATAACAGGATTAAGTGGCTATAATCTGCTATATTTGCTATCCAGGCAAATCTGATCTGTTTCTTGGGGAAAGTCAAACTTCTCGTATCAAATTATTTAACTTATCCTGAGAGGTCATTTTTCCATTAATGGATTAGAATTTAGGTTTCCTGTGTCATGACCCTGTGCTCTAAACACCTAGCCAAATGTGCTCTAATCTAAAACCAAGCACAATTTTTGTATTTCACATCAGTGCCACCCATCAAGACCTTGAAATGAGAATTTTAAAACAAACAAAACCCTTTTAATACAAGCATTAGTAAAGGACACAAAATTTAATACTTACAGCTGTGTTGGGAGCACTGTACCGTAAGTGGGCCAGAGAGTTATATCACATAGCACACAGCCTTGAATAGTTAATCTCCCTTTCCATGGAGATCTGAGAACTTTAAGAAATGACGGTAAGAGAGCAACAGATTATTTATAAATGAAACATTTCCTTAAAAAAAGTATAAAAGACGAAAGAAAAAATCTAAAATCAACGACAGATTTCTTACCATTTTCACTGAGTTCAAGTCTAGAAGAGAAAAGAAAGAAAAGCACTTTCATAAAAGCATAAGAAACAAACACAGTAAAGCAAAGTACGCACATGATTACCTACATGCTTTCACGAGCTGGTGCTGCCATCTTTTTGGGTTCCCTGTATTGAAAAGCCACAATTACATATGGACAGATTTGTCTAGGCCGCTCAGTAACAGTGCTTCCCGAAAGTTCGTAAAGGTAATACTGAAAGAAGAAAAATAAGTATTATCAGGAATTGCATATACAGCAAGTTTATCTCAACCCCACCCAGCCCTGAAATTTAACACATTAGATTATTTATTCACAGGTGACTATACCTGACTTAGTTCAAAGGCACGAAAATGACTCTCCTTGTCAGAAACCTTGTTAGTATTTGTAGCCACGTGGCAATCATAGCCAGAAGATGGCCTAGTATAGTTAGCTGTAAAATTCTCAGACACAAACTTGACTTTTCCCTAGAATAAAAATATTAAAGCTAATCAGGTCTTCAAATAGCAATAACCTTCACTGTAGGATTCATTTAAAAGAAGCCTAATGAAGATGTGGGTATGTTTCAACTAATAATAAGTGTATTAAAGACTAGGCTCCCTAAAAAAAAAAAAAAACCAATTATCTTAAAAAACCCAAATTAAGGCAAACAACAGTTACAATTATACACAAACTCTTAAAATTGTATTAAAAAATACTTTGTTGGGCATCTAAGGGAAATATCCATAGTTTTCAATCACCACATCAAAAGGAATACATGAGTTGCCCCAAATTTAAGAGAGCTGTTTATTTATTTTTTTTTTTGAGACAGAGTCCCACTCTGTTGCCCGGGCTAGAGTGCCGTGGCATCAGCCTAGCTCACAGCAACCTCAAACTCCTGGGCTCAAGCAATCCTACTGCCTCAGCCTCCCGAGTAGCTGGACTACAGGCATGCGCCACCATGCCAGCTAATTTCTTTCTATTTTTTTATAGAGAAGGGGTCTCGCTCTTGCTCAGGCTGGTCTCGAACTCCTGAGCTCAAACGATTCGCCCACCTCGGCCTCCCAGAGTGCTAGGATTACAGGTGTGAGCCACCACGCCCAGCCAAGAGAGCTGTTTCTTTAAAGAGAAACTACATAGCGCCTCCCCACCCCCTTTTTTGAGACAGGGTCTAGCTCTGTCACCTGGCTAGAGTGCAGCTGTGTGATCATAGCTCCCCGCAGCCTCAAACTCCTAGGCTCAAGCAACCCTCTTGCCTCAGCTTCCCGAGTATATAGGATGACAAGCACCACTATGCCCAGCTAATATTTTTAAAGAGATATTGCTATGTTGCCCAGGCTGGTCTCAAACTCCTAGGCTCAAGCGATCCTCCCACCTTGACCTCCCAAAGTGCTGGGATTACAGGCATGAGCCATCATGCCTGGCCTAGCCCACCATCTTTTATGTTATAGTCATTGAATGGCTATTAGGTGATTGTAACATTCAAAGATGACAAATAAAATCTAAAATTTCAAAAGGTGAGTCTCCAAACTGAATTATCAATTGTAAATTATAGATTAAGATACTTCTATTATGTCAGGGCTTAGTAAGTCAGTAAGGGGCAAATAAATATTTAGCCAAGTGCTCAGCAGGCAGCTGGCCCTGATCACTGTGCAGTCCACAGTATTTCCCATTGTAGATTTCTCTTCATCAAGGGTTACATAGCTCTCAAAAAAGGGGGGCGGGGAGCCAAGTTTACCACATGATGAAATATTATACAATGATTTAAAAAGCTGTTTTGAATAATATGACATAAGAAAATGTTCACAACGTAACGGTAAAGAATTAGCACGTAAGTGTACATAGTATAAACTCTTTTTATGGCTTAAGAAATCAATATATATGGAAAAAAATAAAAATACATACTAACAAATATACCAAAGTGGGATTTGGGACTATAGGTAATTTTTTATAAGAAGAATGTAATTACTTTTTTAAAAAAGAATTTTGTTGTTGTTGTTGTTAATCCTGCCTCTTCATTTATAGGACCACCATGGGCAATCCTAAGAAGCCAAAGAATGTGACTAGCACGTCTCAGTAAGCAATCACAATCTCTACCTTCTCCTCATCAAACACCTTATGGCACTGATTGTGGCTCAATTTTGTGAAATAAGGTAAAGAGGACTAACAGATATAGGCAAAAACTAAATAGCAATCTCCAGCCAGAGAGGGCAGGATACAGTGGCAAGAAACCAAGGCTGAGGCACAATCTAACTAAAAAACCAAATGCTTATTATCTGCATGGACAGGCATACTCTCTGCAGCAGAGCTATCAGAGGCCAGAAGAACGATTCAGGGAGGAAAAGCAGTGGTTGCACTTCAAAGTAATGTTACTTTCCCTCCAGTTTTTGGGGAGCAAACTTTGGAATATGAAGAGTTCACTCTTAAAAAAAAAAGGTCAGTAATGTTGAGTTTATAACCAAAAAATTTAAGATAGTAATAAAGCTAAAAATAAAAACAATTAAACAAAACTAGATCACAGAAATGCCCTCAAAAAGCCCACCAACATCTAAAACCAGAGGTTCCCTACTATTTGTGTAAAATTTCTAATTGCCTGATTCACGTAAACAGTGCTATTTAGGACATTTAAGAATTTGTGAGATCAGTTTTAGGTGCCACATGAAGCTGTGAACAAGGTCTGGATGTTTTATGGAGAAAGAAAATAAAACCAGACAAGGAATTTTTTTAAATTCACCTTTTGTAACTGTAATCATATCATTTTATAAGCAAGCTACCCATTCTCTTATTTCATGTTCCACAAGCAGCTCTGACAGGTGAGAGGAAGACTTTTCACTGCATACTCCTTTTATTATTTTGAATTTTTATTTAAAAAAATGCTCACAGATGATCTAGTAAATGAAAAAGTTCTATTTTTAATAAAAAGAAAAAATAGTTTTGTTTTCCTTGAATTTGAATAGCTGTCTTTGGCAAGGATATGTATAGCTAATGATCTACGAAGAATATCATAGGCAGATAACCTTCAGTTTTTAAAAGAAAATTACAAAAAAGCACATCTAGGCTTTACCTTAATTAGATTAAAAATTACAACATAACCAGAATTCCCATGATACCATGGTCTTGGATGAAGATAGTCTGAGTATTTGGAAATGTATACACCTATAAAAGTATAAAATATAAATTAATTTACAGTTTTAAAAAGACTATTTACACTGACACAATTCACATGTAAGGCTACCTTTAACTGAACAAGACTATTCAAAGGACAAATAAACGTCCATTTAAAAAATCTGTTTTGATACTGCTTATCTTTTAAAGAATTACTATCTGTGATATTCTAAAGCTATGAAAACAGTTTAAAATATACATTTGAAAACCAATTTTCTAGTTGGGTACGATAACTGAAAAAAGATAAAAATATCACATTCTTAAAAAATTCTAAATTAGTCTGTTTTTTTCTCCATGTAATCATTCAACCAAGATGTCTATGGTAATCTGATTCTCAAGTTATTTTTCACGAAAAATATCAGTAAGTTCTCTTATTTAATGATATGTACTGAGAGTTTACTGCTACATGGCAGGTTCTGGGCTAGACAGCAGTGACACAAAGGTAAATAAAACAAAGTTCCTGCCTTCAAGATGCTTATTCTGATAGATTATAAATTCCATTAAGTCAGGCGTTATATTTGTTCTGTTTACTACTGTAAACCACACCATAGCCCAACACATATCAGCTATTTAAACATCTGTAAAACGTGTTATATTTGAGTGCACACGGAAATGAAAACAAGTATCATTAAATGCTATAAAGTGGTATATATAAAAAACTGTAAGTACACAGAAATAATTAAATTTGTCAGGGCAAGAACAAGTTCCTTAGAGAGAGGAATGAAATCCTAAGTAGAGAAGAGAATGAACAAAAGTATAGAAGCATAAAAGATCATGAAGTGTTTAGGGCACAGGCCACAGGGTTGGGAGCAGGGGAGAAAGCAGTGGAGACTGAGGCTGAGGAGGAAGGCTGGAGCTGGGGAGCAAAGATCTTAGGATGACTCAATAATCAGCTTAGACTTTATTCTGTAGGCAGCAGAGAACCATCAAAGGTTTTAAGCAGCACACCGCCCATCGGAGAGGAAAGACTAGAAGCAAGAGGACCAAGTAGAAAGGACCATAATAGCTGAGACAGGAGAGGAGGATCCCAAGGAGGAAGCAGCAGTGAAAACAAGGAGGGAAGGACAGACGTCAAGAGCTCTGCTTCATTGAGGCATCTCTTTTGAAATGTAAAAGACAATGGGTGAGAAAACTGTGATGTAGTGGAAAAGAGCTTGGGTTCCAGGTAGGAATAAGTCACTGAAGGGGGAAGGGTGGGCCGGGGTCACACACACATAAACCTCAGGGTTCTCATGAAGATTTAAAAAGACCATTAAGCTTCTAAAACCATGAAACACTATAATGATAGAAAGTATTATTGTTATATACAGAACTAGCCAGTTCTATTCAAGCCAAAAACTATAAAACATATACAGGCAGCAGTGCAATTTTATTATCAACTCCAGCATAAGTCGCATGTGTTTGAAGAATGTGTACTTGTCAGGAACAATTCAGCTGCTACTTCCACAGCTCTGCTAAAGCCTGCCTCTCAAACATCAGCAATAAAATCATGGGATTGTAACGATGTAGGAAAATTTTTTGTTGTTTTGAGATGTAAGCTGAGGTGATTATATGTAGTTTCCTCTCAAATTCTTCAGAAAAAAATTTAAACAAATGAGGCAAATAAACTTAGGTGACAGGTATATTATACTATGCTCTACTTTTTCTACATGTTTGAATTTTTCATAATGAAAAGAAGGTGGGGTGAAAAAATAGGGAAGAAGAAAAAAGGTTTTATGTACGGTTAATGGGGTCATGAATTTGTCATCTTTAACGTCCTTTAGAACAGGAGTTGAGTTAAGTTTAAAAATTTTTTGTTTTACATAGAGTTATACCACATGCCCCAGTGGATCTCACTCCTAGTTATATACCCAGAAGAAATGAAAACACATGTCCACACAAAAACTTATACATGTATGTTCACAGAATCATTATTCACATTAGCCAAAAAGTAGGAATAACCTAAATGTCCAAGAATTGATGAACGGATAAAAAAAAAAGTGGTATAACTGTAACAGAGAACACAGTCATGCGCCACATAACATTTCAGTCAACAATGGACCACACATATGATGGTGGTCCCATAAGATAAT